AACAAAAAAAAAAAAAAAAAAAAAAAAAAATCCCCAAACCAAAAAACAACAGCGCAGCAGCAGCAACAAAAGCAATGACAAAAGCACCTCTTTTGACCCTGTTGTGTCTCTTCTGGTTTTAACTGGCTTTCATCCTCCTCTGGAAAGAGCTCTCTTTAGTCATTGTCTCCATTTTTCACTTCCCATTCACTTTTCAACCCAGTGAACTCTGACTTATCCCACCACCTCACTTCAACTTGCATAGCTAAAGACACTATGATGTCTGCATTGCACTTTATATGTCCCTTTCTGTGCTGAATCTGACACTCCCAATGGCACATTCCTTGAAATTCCCCTTGCCTTTGGCTTCCATAACCTCACTGCTCCTATTTTTCTGACATTCCTGACCACCTCTTAAAAGTCAGTATTTCCCCCAGGATTTCCACTGTGAGCCACTGCTTTTTCACAGTTTTAACTGCCACCTATGTATATATGCTGATGACTTGCAAGTCTGCATGTCCAGTCCTAACATTTGCATTTTGCTTTAGAGGTCAGGTCACGTCTATGTGTGTCTCCCACAGGTACCTCAGATTCAGCATGGCCTTGGCTGAATTCAACATCAACTCCCCTACTTCTAAAACTTGGTTCACTTTCTCTATTCCTTCTGATTTGGTAGCCCCATGAGTTTCAGAATCATTCTAGAACAGCACAATGTCCAATAAAAATAGAATGTAAGCCACATGTGTAATATAACAATTTTCTGGTAACCACATTAAAAAATAAAATGAGTCAAGTGAAATGAATATTAAGAATAGATTTTATTTAACCCAATATATCTAAAATATTATCATTTTAAAACATTTAATAGGGCTTCCCTGGTGGCGCAGTGGTTGAGAGTCCGCCTGCTGATGCAGGGGACACGGGTTCGTGCCCCGGTCCGGGAAGATCCCACATGCCATGGAACGGCTAGGCCCGTGAGCCATGGCCACTGAGCCTGTGCGTCCGGAGCCTGTGCTCTGCAACGGGAGAGGCCACAACAGTGAGAGGCCCGCATACCGCAAAAAAAGAAAAAAAAACAACAACCATTTAATAGATATTTTACATTTCTTTTGTACCAAGGTTTCAAAATCCAGTGTGCATTTTACACTTACCACACATCAGAGTTTAAACTAGTTACTAGGGCTCAATAACCATATGTGGCTAGTGGCTACTGTACAATGCAGTTCTAGTCTTTACCTTCACTAATCTCCCTTTCATCCAGTCATAAGTCCTATTGATTTTGTCTCCTAGGTGTTTCTCCAGTAGGTTTATTTATTTTCATGCTTTCTGCTCGTGGCTTTACTTCACACCTTGGTCATGTCTCACTTGGTTTATTGCAATAGCTTACATAACCTAGTTTGTCTCAGGGAGCATGCAAAATTCGCTGGAATGCAGGAGCATATAGTAGAACATCTACATACATATTTTTATCTAGAAAATAAGGAAACAGTTAAGATTTATTAGTATTGAATATATATATATGAATATATATATATATATATATATATATATATATTGATGCCAGTGCCCTTGCTTTGTATCACAGAGAAGTCAATAATAAAGTTATAAATGTAACAAATAAAATACATTTCCCCCACAAAATAAAAAACTTAAAATATTTATTTCATCTTCATATAATACTTTAGAGTTTCTTTGGGTATTTCTATGGATGTACACAGTTTAGTAATACATTGGTCATATCTACTTAATAAATTTACATGTGTACTTGAAATTTATTTTGGTACTGCCAAATTTTATCACTAAAATTGGTGGTCTATTGAACTGGATCGACTCTGGCTTTACGCCGCTTGCCCCCAGCCTCAATTTCTTCGTCCCACCTCACATTTCCTGCATGAAGTAGCTCTTTCATATTTTGTTCTTGTGTGTCCTTCTTCATGGAAAACAAATAAATAGGCAAACGAACTACTTCCTGACCTAACTCTAATTCTCTGCCAGGTTCTTTCAAGCTATCATGTCTCCAAGGAAAGCCTATTAACATTACCTAAGTTGTGTCCAGTCCTACTTCTCTTGCTAAGGATACCTCTCTTACTACACTGTTATGTTGAAATTATCTCCTTATGCATCTCCATTCCCTACAAAACTCAAATTCTTGAGGACAAGGGTGTGGCATCATCATGCTTTTTCATCTTGACATATGATAGGTTCTTAACAAATGTTTGTTGAACCAAATTCATGGCTCTCCTTGATAAAGCCATCCTGTTCTATCAATGGGTGAAATAGTGTTTTTCTTATTGCAATTTGTGGAGTATCTGGAAAACATCCTCTTTGTCCAAAGATGCCTGATAGAATGAAATAGTAAATACACTTTCATTAAGTACTATAATTAATATGCTATTTGTAAGCCCTGGTAGTGTGGGTAACAATCTTATTGGGAAATAACCAGTTCCTTCTTACTAAAAAATTAAATGAGATTATTTGCTCTAAGACGAATGAAGTTTTGATTGTATGTATACATGCAACAGCTTTCAAACTTCAGTATGAATAAGAATCACTTTGGGACATGTTAAAATGTAGATTCCTGGGTTTCATACGCACATATTCTGATTCCTTTGGACTTATAGGTATCCCAAGAATCTGTACTGTTAGAAAGCATCCCAGTGGTTATTTATTATAACCATTTAATTTTATTAGCTGGTAGAAACCATATTTGAGAAGTATTGTTTCCTTCTTTCTGAAGCAGAGGGTTAAGAAGGAGTTAAGTTTGAACAATGGAGAGAACTGCCTTAATCTGGGCCTGAATGGGTTTCTACCTGGAGGTCTTAAAAGTTAAAGAGTTAAAAAGGAAAATGGGTGATGCTGGGAGATACCGAAACAGGGAATCAAGGGTGACAGAGACTAGGATTGTGGAAAGAGGCTTGGAAGATCAATAATGACCTTGGCTTGTTTTACAATATTCCCCAGGATTGACTTTCTTCAACTAGAAAGCTGAAAAATAAAATATAAACATAAAATCTGATTATTATTAGGTTATTTTCATTTTCCTTTAGGAAGTGACACTCAGTCATTCAACAAGTAATTTTTTAAAAAAATATTTCAGGATGTTTAGGATAATGGACATTGTAGGTATAGGGTGATTTTTGACATTTAGAACAATATCATACAATTTCATATACATTTCATTTCTATGACAACAAAAATTATCTAGCATAGAGGAGATGGTAAACTATGCCGTATGGAAAACAGAATTTCACTTTATAAAAGCTGTGAGAAAAAACAGATTTTCACTTAAATGCCATTTATAGGTAATTTCTATCCAAGTTGTTAATGTTTAAAAATTTAAATGCCATTTAAATATTTTTATGAAGACTCTATGTATTTCTTAGCTTGGCCAATAACAACCAAAGGTAGATGGATAAACCTAGACCATTAAAAACCTCCAAACTTTTATTTTAGCTTATTGTTTCAGCTTTCTCCCCCATTCAGCTTATTGAGAGCTGTTAACAAGGGACTAATTGGTTGGCTTGTTTTTTCTTTTCACCATTCGGTGGCCAGTCTCTGGTAGAAATCCTAACGAGATGCAAACCAGGCAAACAAATGGGCCAGTGGGCTGGAAGGGGATAAGAGACAGTGGGCATGGAGAGTCTATTGTTGTTTGTCCAGTCAACTAAATATCTTTTAATTGTAGCAGCAGTGCCATAAATAGGCCTGGCACAAACCTATTAGTCTGCCTTATTTATTAGCCTACCTGTTTCAGTCTCTCTGCTTCCATCATCCATACAAGTCTGCGATTTTGATTTTTGTTCATTTGATGGGAGAGACTTCCCTCTGGTTATCTGTGCTTTTGGAAGATATATTATTATTATTATTTTTAAAATAAATTTATTTATTTATTTTTGGCTGCATTTGGTCTGCACGTGGGCTTTCTTTTTAGTTGCAGCGAGCGGGGGCTACTCTTCATTGCAGTGTGCAGGCCTCTCATTAAGGTGGCTTCTCTTGTTGAGGAGCACGGGCTCTAGGTGCGCGGGCTTCAGTAGTTGTGACACGTGGGCTCAGTAGTTGTGGCTCTCCGGCTCTAGAGCACAGGCTTAGTAGTTGTGGTACATGGGCTTAGCTGCTCCGTGACATGTGGGATCTTCCCAGACCAGGGCTTGAACCTGTGTCCCCTGAATTGGCAGGCAGATTCTTAACCACTGCGCCACCAGGGAACCATGAAGATATATTATTCTGAATAGTTTAATAGAAGGTGAGCTTTGAGGGAACAATGCTATTCTTATTGTAACTTGTATCTTGTTTTTAACTTAGTGCAAACCTGCATTCCCCATGGGCTCATGTTAAGTTAAACGTCTCTGCTGATCTGTGCTCTCTTGAAGGTGATTCGCAAGGGATGGCTAACCATCAGCAACATTGGCATCATGAAAGGAGGCTCTAAGGGATACTGGTTCGTCCTTACTGCTGAAAGCTTATCCTGGTACAAAGATGATGAGGTGAGCCACAGAAGTGACAGAATTTTTTTAATTAAAATGTTTCTCTTTCAAATTAATTGATAGTATTGTGATATACAATTTTAAGACACCAGTGGTTTTCTTTCAGTAAGACTTAGCTTGGGATGTTTGAAGAAGCACTGTTTTTTCCTCATAGATTTTAAATTTTACGATAGTCCCCTCAAATATCTTTTATTTGTAGTCACATTTGTTTCCCTGAAGAAATGGAGTTAGGGATCAGTAGTTGAAAACTTCCTTCTTTGTAATAATGGCAAAGTAGTGATATAGTGAAAGCGATTTTCATTAAATAATGTGTTGAAAATACTCAAGGTAATAGAGCATCGTGAGAGCAAAGTTAATAGCAGTGATGCAGAGTTAATAAAGCATTTTGGAATTGTTGCTGTGACATCTGTCTCAAATGACAGGCTTTTGAAAATGTCCAAATCACTAGTCTTCAAGTGAGTACTAGATAATTGTTTACAAATTTTTTCTTTGAGAATTTGATATCTATGTAAAAGCATGAATTATGATAATTATGGTGTTCTGGTTCATGTTAGATGTTAATAATATTGGGTCTGTGACTTATTACTCATTTAAGTCTGATAGAAAAGCACACACAAAAAAATCAGTCTTACAGAGCCATTAAAGTGCTATAAAGTGATACTGGTAAATTTGGGAGGGCATGGATGGAAATTAAGCAGTGTTTTGGAAATTTTAATAGCTCTGGTCTGACTTGAGAAATTTGGAGGGCTTATAATGCAGCATGCAAACATTTGATAAGAATACTCTGTGATAGCAAAACTATATACAGGTGAGATTGTATCAGTTGTATTTGGTTATAAAAGGCACGCGTTTCAGAGTTAAAAGTCCTTCCGCTCTTGGCTTGATATCTTCTGAAAGCACTGCAAGGTGCTTTTGTAAATTGTTGGAGGAAAAACTTCATGTCCTATGTAGTTCTTTCTTTTTCCTAAATGCTTTGTGCAGATAATGGGTTTAATAAATATCAGATGATCAGTTGATGGCCACTAAATTTTCTGCAGTAAAGGAAATCAGATCTTATAGAAAGGTCCATAGAAAATTTCTACTCAAAAGCTTTATTTCAAATTTTTGTCACATATTTTAATGACTTCAGTCAAACGTGGAATTGGTTGTTGTGAGTCTGAGGATTAGCATTGGTTTCTTTCCTGTGCTGGCTGCTTAGATCTCTCTCTCATTCTGTGGAAGCTCCAGTGTTTAAAGGCAACAGCCTCAGGAGCTCTGAGATGCCTTTCTAGATATAAACATCAGTAATTACATAATCTTCTTTTGTGTTCAGTTGCCCTACTAGATCTTCTCTTAGATGCATTTTGTTTACAAGTATTTGTTACAAATACTTGTTACAAATGTTCACAAGTAGGTGATCGTGTATGTACACTTAAATACATATTGGCCTATGGGCCATTCTCAGTTATTCTAGGCAAAGCAAAAGATTTTGCTGAGGAATCATGTTAGTAATAGCTAGTGTTTTATATTTATTAATTAAGGCATTTAATCCACGTTACAACCATAAGGATAGGTACTATTATTATCCCCATTTTTCAGGTGAGTAAATGAAGAAAAAAACACAACCTTTTGAAAAGTCATTTCTATAGGACTCAGTTTTCCTTATGGTAGAACACTTGGTGTTGGTGAGGATAACTAACTTGCCAAGGTCTCATAGCTACTTGGTAGCAAAGCAGAAATTTGAACACACACTGTCTGGCTCCAGAGCTTATGACTTCAACCACAAATGGAGGCAAGAATCTCCGAGGTGCTGGAGTTTTCCAAGTCAACCTCATCCCACAGAGGATTTATTAAGATGAGTTCCGGGCATCCCAGCATTGACCTCTCCCTGAGTGTTAGTATCAGGGGCCCTGAAGACTCTGGGATTAGCCACTGCTGTTGGAGTATGGCTTTAGGGTTTCTGAAACAAGCCTGTTGGAAGGCACATGATGCTCCCTGTAGGGAAGGAAGAGGCTTTGAGAGCTTGGTGAGCTCATGGTCACCAGTCAGCCCCTTCTCTCTGCTCTAAATTCAGAATAAATTTTTACAAAATCTCTGCTGCTGAAGCTCCCTCATGAACACTTGGTTACCATAGATAGAAAATACATGTGTGCAGTTATAATATTAACCAAGTGTCAGAGAACATTTTATTAAAGGTATGTGTGTGGAAGGTGGTGGGCTGTGTGTGTGTGTTGGGTGGGAAGGGTAGGTCATAATGACTCTTAAAATAGATTGGACTGATTTAGATGAAGAAAGTTTAGGAAAGGGTTGTTTTCTTAGTTTAGATCATTTTAAGAAAGAGAAAACGACAGATGAGGATGCTGCTCTATGGAGCTAACAAGTAGACTAACAATACAATATCGGATAGTAAGTGCCCTGAAGAAAATAGGTTAGTGAGCTAAAAACTGATGGGGGAGGGACTTTTAGATTGAGTGTTTGCGAAGAAGTAACATTGGAGCAGAGACTGGAATGGCGAACTGTGTAGAAGATTATGTTGAAGAACATTCCAGGGTGGCAGTGGGCGGGAAGCTTACGGCTGAGATGGAGGAGGAGAAGGAGAGAGAAGTAGGAAATATAGAATCAGAGGTACCTTGTCAGGCCAATGATTTGGATTTTATTCCGAGGATAATTGAAAACCATTGGCCTCTGTCAATAGGATGTGACCTGATTGGATTTACGATTTAGAAGGATCAGTCTGGCTGCTGGGTTGGGCATGATTTGTGGGATGGAATGTGTGTGTGGATGGAGTTGGGGTGGCAAGAATAGAAGAAGGGAGACCAGCTAGGAGACTGTATCAGTGGTTCAGGCAAGAGAAGATGGTGGCTTGTACTGGCTGGAGAGGAGAGCTCAAGTTCAGGGTGAAGCAAACTGATGGGCCACATACAGCTACACTGTAGTCATTAGCTACTGTTTCTCATGAAAAACTCTGCTCAAGAAACCAGATAGGAAATTTTCCAAATAGTAATGCCTGACTCATGACCCCTGTCTTCAAAGTATGTGTCAGTGGGGCAGAGCCTTTTCTCCCTGAAGCCATCCTCATTCATCCCCACCTTACCACCCCTTGGTAACCACCACTCTGGTTCACCATCCTGCTCCATTTCTATTGCCAGCACTTCCTACCACCACAGACCACCTCTGAGGCTGCTGGCAGGGCAGAAGGGAGGGGTCAGCACTGTTCCTTGCTCTTTACCAGTATTCAACTAATAGTTATTAGCGTCTGCTGGGAGCCAAGGCTGGAAGGGAGGGTATGGGGAAAGGAGGTCAGAAGAAATGTCAGGAGGGTGGGGCTTAGAGGTAGTGAATTGTCTCTGGCCCCTTGAATTTGTACCCTGAATACCTATCCTTTATTAGCAGTGTTTTAAATGATGCTTAGATTTCATACATGCCTTGCTGTCATAGTTTAACTATGCTTCTGGATATAGATTAAAGATGCTTCTGTGGGCAACCTTGAAAACCCCAAATTTACAATTTTCCTTTGTGAAAATAAGTATGAGTCCTTACCCAACTTTTGGAGTCAGTTTGTTGGTAAGTTGAGTGCTTGTACTTTGTTCCCATGGTATCTGTCACATCAGCATCTACACACTTTGGAAATCCTGTTACATAGCAATTTATCTCTCTTAGTCAAGCAAGTGTGACACCATAAATATTATTAAGTTAGTTATAGATTTATCATTTATTTAATAATTTATATTCAGATTTTCATAGAGAATTGTTATTTGTTTCTATGTTCTTTCATCTTCCTGCTTTCTTGTGTAATTAGACTGGTATGTTTTCATTATAATCTAATTGGCTGTTGAATAAATAGCATATTATGGCATATGAATAGATATGGTTTTATTTAACTTTTGACAGGTTTGTAATAAATATAAATGACTTATGAAATGTATTTGTGATTAAAGAACAATGGTTCAAACTGTTTTCAGGATGCGATTAATTGAACAAAAGACCCTGTATACCATATGCTTGGTGCAATGACAAGGGTGAGGTGCTGGAGGATGTGAATTTGCTATGACTAACTGCCAGTGTTGGAACAAGTCAGACTTCTGAGCCTCAGTTTTAGCTTATCAAATGGGGACTGTTGCTGACCAAATCACCTCAAAGGGAGTTTGTAGGACTCTAAGAAATCGTATATTAACAAGTGCATTTATAATCTTTTAGGCATCACATTTATATATTTATTCTTTTCATCTCAAGTAATACTATGCCCTCCTACAATAATGTCATTCTTTCACTCACATGTCTTCTAATTTCCAATTTGGTCATTTCATTTTGTGAGATAGGATGTATGGGATCTGGGATTTTTCAGCAGAGAATGGTAAAATTCAGGCAGTAAAATGGAACTCAGATCCTATTCCTTTAGTGGGACTTTTCTATGCTGCCTCCTCACCAGCCTATGGGTTAGAGATGATAATATCAAACTATGTGATTTCCTATCCAAACTGGCAGAGACAATAGCATGATAACCCTGTGCAATAATTTTAAGCTAGAGTTGGCATGATGGTAATAATAGGTCCCCATCATTTTTCCTGCTTTCTCCCCATCCTTAATATAACTATCCTCCCTACCCTTAAATCTTGGATGGTTTTGTGAACACGCTCAGACATCTGTGGGCCTCGTGTTTTGAACCATTATTCTACATTACAGTAATGTTATCTGTAATGTTACTGACAGATGATCTTAATGGAAAGGTTTCCACCTGTGTCCCAGGCAGTGTTATTTCCATGTGTTATCTTCAGAGAATCTATATAATACAAAGTGGTTATGGAAAACATAATTAATCTATGTACTTGACTATATGTTATCCTTTAGCATTACTCAAAAATTGGGGCTTTCTGCAACACGAAAATAAATAGACCTCTTGTACATGGTTAGATAGTTTATAACTAATCACCAAGGGGATTTACCCAAACCTGGCTGTCCTTCCAAATCATACTCCAGTACCCCAGACTCTGAAATTCTGTACAAAAGTGGCTCTGAATGCA